ATATTCAAAATGTGATAAACTGAGCAATTCTCAATTTTCTGGTTAAAATTAAAACAGTCATGAAACACATATACCTATTATAAGCACTTCATCAAAAAATAAGCTTTCCACCAAAAAGTTTCACTAGAAAGAATCTGAATTCCCAAATTATGCTGAATTACATTTTTTCTATTTAAGAGACTCCTGAGGAGTGCTAATTGATAACTGCCATGGTACTTCAAAATTAAAACTACACTGTTTAAATATCTTGTACATCTGTTCTCCTTTTTCAATACCCAGTTTACTGAATTATTATGTATATTGTTAAGTATATACAATGTTAGATATTGTTAAATATATATAATGTTAAATATAAGACATGCAAGCATCAACTTGCTGAGGTCTGCATTTTCTGTTTGCTCATTTTTTCTTTTGTGACTTTTTTTCTGTGAAAATTCAGAAGGTAAACATATGTTTTTAATATGGTTGAAAATCTGCTGGTGCTTCTAGCAGATGTTTTCTCTTATATTTTTAAAGAGATTCCTTGATACTTACTGGAAAACTGAATGACATTCTGTTTGCAGGCAATTCCACCTGAAGTCACACCAGATAGGGGAAGGAATTATTCCTAAGTGGTTTGGCACCTGTAAGACATTGTGGGTCAGAGAAACACACAATGCCTTTCAAAGCACAGTGAAACCATTGTGCAGCATGGATAGACACTACTGGACAAAGCAAAATGGAGCAGTGACAAAAAGCAGCTATCAAAAAAAAAAAAACCAATCTTTCTCTTCCCCATGCTGCTATCTATGTGCTTTTATTATACTGAAATGAAAAAGTCACATGTGTCTTCAGAGAGTTTGGTATTTACCCCACTAAATGCCAAGATTGAAGACGTGGAAGGAAGTCTCAAATTTTATACCCAAGTGATTTTGAAGAATTTGGACTGAGAAAACAGGATAAACAGAGTCTTCTATAAAGTCTTTGGGGAGAATAGGTAATACCTGTACATTAATTATTGCCAGCTATTACTTGCTTCAATGGCATTTGGGCTACTTAGTGACACACAACTCTTGGGCATTGCACAGGTATACGACAGTTCTCTCTATACCCAAATAAATAGTATGTAATTTCTCCTGCTTTGTTTATTAAGAAGGAGGTTTCCATTAAAGCATTCAGTCCTCAGCTAATATAATCAGAACAATTCAAATTTCCACCAGACAAAGATCTAGTTCAGGATGTTTGTTCACTTCACATAATGCCCTCTAGCAAAATTATACTATCACACGCAGAAGTGAAATAATCAAGGACACGCAAATTATCCATTTGGTATCAAACAGAGGAACTCAAAACTCACAATTAAATTATAGTGCTGCTGATAATGTCAGAAGCCCAAGTACTGCCTCAGACACCGGGCCTCATTTTAAGAAATAGCCAAGATTTTCCTGAGTGATAAAAACTTAATGGCATGTCTACACCACTTATAAAACCACAGACATGGAAAAGGGGGGTTGGCCAGGAGGTAGGGGTGATCAGTTTGATGTCAGAAACTGGAGCTATTGCGATTAAGACCTATTGCTGGGCTGTGTTCAGGAACAAGAATTTGCAGGACCACCAGGAGCTACTTATTGCCAACCTGGCCTCCCTTCAGCTGGAAAATCTGTATCCTTCCTCTGTCATAGGCGTATGGGTTTTTAGTACCCTACATGAAGACTGAGGCTGTTTAAGAAAGTGTGAGTATCAAAGTCTTGAGAATGTGGAGTAAATTTCCGTTTTCGACTCCCACTGCAACAAGCCTCTCAGGCGGCCACTTCGCATCTCACAGGATGCTGAGATCTGGCAACCTCTGCCAGATGAGAGGCCGCTCGCAAATCTAAATAACGGTAACACTGTTTCCCAAAGGCCTGCCCAGTGTTTCAGCTCAGGAGGAAGACAGTGTTCATAGGAATTAAAAGAGGGCCTACTGAGGGCCAATACAGGTTTTTGGGAATAAAGAAGGAAATGTGAGTAAGAACTGAAAAATAGGCTGAATTCTAAAACAAGAAACAAGACAAAAAGTTAACTGGTAAAGGAAGGAGACCAAGGGACAAAGTTAAACCTGGGGACTCAGTTGAACTCTTTCTGTTCTGAGATTTATCTATTATCACCCCAGGGGGATTAAAAATAACGATTAGAGTAGCCTAAGTTGTGACCTGTCATCTTTGGAGACACCATCAGCAATTTAAAATTACCATATTGTATAATGTTATTTTTCCCATGGAATTACATTGCGCTACAGACGCTGGTTGTAATTATATATAAATTTGAGATGGGATCAATGTCCCAAGGACCAAATGTGGGTGTCATTTTCTGATTGTGTTACATCAGAAAGAACCCCAACTGGCCTAACCTGATGTAGCTGCCTTGACATTGTCAGAGATGGACTCAATTGCATCAGCCATGGATCTGACCTTCAGTAAAGTTAATATTATAGAAGAGTATCAAAATTATAGACATAAAATTCTCACTGCTGACCTTTTATTCACTGCTGTGTCATTCTACCCATTTAAGATTTACTCACATAATGCGAGGACAGACCTGAAAAAGCCTTATTATAGCAAAAGGTAGAGGACACCAAATTGGCTTTGAAAATAAATACACTTTTCAGGACATCAAACAGCCTATTGTCCCCTGGCCTCATTTGGGGGAACACTTGCTGTTGACATAAGGTACATGTTTATGGCAGATGAACACTTGTTTTCAATAAAATTGAACTAAGTTCTGCTGACCATACATAAAGTTTAGCAAATAACTGTCCGCTATTTGCTTAAGCAATTCCATATATTGCATCAGGTGATGGAATGGGGGGAAAAAAATCAGCAACTTTGCCATGTACAGCTGCTGGGGCCATTGATTTTTACAGGCTTTAAAATAGCCTGCTTAGAGATATTCCTGTCAGGGGTGGCAGTTTTAGAGCACAGCATATATGCAGGACAGGTTCACAGGGCCCATAAAGATATGGAACTTTAGAAGCAAGCTATGCATTCTTATCCGTATGTGAAACTTGAGTCTATCTGATCTCTAGTAGTGTCTTCACAGTAATACTGAAAGAAATTCAGATGAAAAGGATCAACAACCATAAACTACACTGCCCTCCTCAGTGTAACACACACCCTGCAAAAGCACATAAACTCCTGTTGGAAGCACCCTAGTTATAGCAGTCCGACGGTCTATATGGACAAGGTCCAATAGAAACAAAGTAAAAAAGCATCCTGCTACAAATAACTTCTATAATAAGATCAATAGCAGATGAATTCTTTTTCAGGCTTTCAAAACATTTTAAATGAAAATATTATCCTTTTTACACATTTGTCAGGGCTAGTTTCTTACCTGGATGTCCTTCTCCCACTGACTCCGATGTGAACATGAAAGCCCCTTCATCATCCAGCGTGTAATCACATAAACCATCCACTGGCCCATTCATGATTGTGATGCTTTTCCTGATGGATTACTATAAACACTGGTTGAAGAGTTCTACCTTCAGTGCCTTCTCTTAAAGAAGGTTCTTTATCAGCAGGACTATCCCTGTCTTCACTTACTACCTCTCACAGCCACTTGAATTTCAGTGTGTGAAATCAGCATGTGCTTGCATCTGCGTACGCATGCAAGGAGTATGCATGTGCCTGAAGTCTGTATCCCTACCTAGCCTGATCTGTCAGTCCCTGAGCTGCTCCTATATATGGAAAAGTGAAAGTGCCTAGATAATCATGTGAGGAAAATGGAAGAGCTCATTTCTTGGCAGGGGAGTTAGTTAACTTTAGGATATTTCACTAATTAACTCAGTTCTTGGAAACATTCTGGAATCAACCTGTGCAAGATTGGTTATCTTAGCAACTCAACCGAGCATGAAGTAATGCAGGAGTACGGGTGACGGTTCAGGTCAGCTGCTTCTTCAGTTTGTCTCTCCCCTAATTTTGGGATCTGTGTTGTGCTTCCAACTGTGTGTTGTGGTTTTACAGGGATAGATAAGAAAATCTATAAATGCATGCCTTTCCTAGCAAGAGACTGGAAGAAGTTTGCTCTGCATCATGTAACTGTATTTTCCTTTACTTTTTCATGTCTTGAAAGCTCGAATTCTCTCCTGAAATATTTTTTTTCATTTTCATTCATTCTTCATGCACATCTGAGAGACGAAACATCTGATAAGATCTAGCATGATGCGTGCTTCTCATTTATGCAGACCTCTCCCTTCAGCCTTTGCTTTGCTTTTCCTCTGTCTTCTATTAATTCAGATCCATCTTAATTATCTTTTTGTATTATATTCTCATATTATATTCCATAACCCTTAGAAATACAATAGTTGCTACATCTGAGTACTCAGTGCTCAGTTCTGCTACTGAAAATTTCTTCTAGTCAGACAGTTCATGTCTGGAATATGCTGATGGCATGACAGGCATGAAGACAGATGGCATTTTGTGGGTATATGTGTCCTTAAGTTAGTATACAAAAAACAAGTAAACATACCCATGAAGCAGATCCAGGAAGTGCCCAGCACTACTGCACCATTATAAAAAAATGTAATTATTAATTCCTTTACAGAAACCATTCTAGTCTCAATCTCAGACCAAATCATTTGTCTAGCAAAAAAATTTCTCTTCAGTGAACACCGAATCATACTCTCTTAATCATTCAAAGTGTAGCTGATATTTGGATTGGAATAAGTAACATCCTGCTTGCTCCATAGCCCTTGTAATTTTGACAGCAGTGAAACCCTTATCACTCTTCAGTTTAAAAACTGACTTTGTTTACCTCAAACCCTTGGTCAGTATCAATTTAAAAGATCACTTTATATAGCCCCTTGGATTCAAATTTCTGTATTGCTATACATTTATGTAAGAAACCATTAGAACTTACACTTTCTGCCTACATTCCTGAAAACAATAACCAATGCCTGTGAATGTACACTAGTGATCTGCTGTAGCATTGGCCCCTCTGTAATTATAATCAACACAGAATCATTCATTTCAAATACATTTTCTTGGTTTTCTGTTGTACTGAATTTATTTCACAGAATGAAAAGCACTGGTTGCACTTAAAAATGCAGAATTTACACATCAGATACACACTATGAGACATAGCTTTCTCTGGAGTAAACTGCCATCACCCCACTGACACAAAGATTGTATCCCAGCCTGAATAAATTACGCATTAACACCACCAAGAAAAACAGAATTTATAAAACAAAAATAGAAGACCAAAGAGTAACTTACTATGTTAATCCTAGTTAATGGGTAACATTCAAAAATTATATTAACTATTAAAGTAAAATAACGCCAGTGACAAGTGTTCATTCTTAAATGCAGACTTTTTCTCTATGGCAGCACAGAAAGACATGATGGGAATGGATGAAGCACCTCTGACAAAAACTCTTTCCATACACGTGAGAGTTTTCATTCCAATTCTACAAACAATCCTCCAGCAAAAGCAGATAAGATTGAACATTGTCTGTGCGTTCCATTCTCTCTTGCTTCTGGTTTTGTTCTTTCTTGGTTTTCAATGCCACTTAAGGACAGAAATTGTAGTGTGGGGACCAGTATTCTTGTTTTTAAAGTAACACTTATGCAGAAAGCAGAAACAAGCCTCTCACATAATCCTCTTATCCCTTATAAAAATAAAAAAAACCCACAAGCTCCTAAAATGCTGTAGATTGTAAGTAATTTGACATACACGAGTAACGAGCTTGCAGGCCCATTGTTTATTTTCCTTTTACAGTTCCTCTTTTTGGACTGACTTCTGCCTGGTTAAGTGCATTGGTCCTTAAGGCCTTTGGAGGGTCACCCTTCATGGAAATAGCCTCTCTGGTAATCGTATTCTAGAAATGCTGCACAGCTGCATTTCACATAACTTGTGTAAAACCTCCACTTTGAACTGCTTCCAGTTGTGGCTTTACTATCAAGGGCAACACATTTGCTCCATGGCCATGAAGCATCTCAGCATGTCCTCTTCTAGGACGTCTGTGACCAACTCTAAACCACTGTAGGGTTAGGTAATGTTTAATTTGGCTTTTCTTCCCAAACAATTTGACTCGTCAAATATTTGTAAAAAGGTAAGACAGTGCTCTACCATAATGTCTTTTTGGCACAGAACTTCTGCCTATTAAAAAAAAAAAAAAAAAAAGAGGATAATAATGATTCATATCAGCATTTATCCCCATTTCATTTTATTAATAATGACTCATCAATGTAACAGGCTTCCAAATTTTCTGTTAACTTTATTGCCATACTCAACAGCTTTGTGGTACTGAGCCCTATGAAAGTCAGTTTCTCTGCAAATCTCTTTATAATTTCTATGTTGCACAACATTGCATTAAGTATCTTTTGACTATACTCTATGACCTTTATTCAGAAGATACCTAATGGAAAAATCCTCTCAATCAGTATGACTCCTGTGCTTTGAAATGAAGCTAAAGACAGGAAAACCACAATATTATAACACTGTCCTCCTGTATTGCTCTAAGTATTTATTCATATTGACTATAACATCGATCCCAACCACTGGAATAGCAACGTGAATCCTTCTATTAACTGTAAGAGTTTCCATTTTTGGCAGCATCCCATGGTTTTGCTACTTTTACTCAGCAATTCTGCAAAACTATCCCCCTTCTACTTCATATAACACTTAACAGCTGTCAGAAGGCATAATTTTACTGCAGCCTTGAGAAAGCCCTGAAAATAATGAAGTGAACAAGACTTAACTGAGAAAAAGAATTTTATGAATGTTATTGATGCTGCTGATTCTCTAGACAGACATGACTGATAAATTGTCTTGATCCTAGACCTTTCATGACATTTGCATCAGACCATTTTATTTGCTCACCTTCTCCTCGCCTTATCTGCTTTTCCACTCTACTCCCCTTCCCTCATTTTTGTCTTGCTTATATCCTTTTGGTTAAAACACATTTCCTTTTTTTTTTTTTTAACTTTTACTTACTCCTTTCCACCTCCCTAGCTGTCTCTACCGATGTCCCATTTATGTTATAAACCACTGAGAACTGAGCCTACATGGATGAATGATATCTGTAGAAATAAGAAAATGAGCTTGAGCTAATAGCTTACAGATAAAACACTTCTAACTCACAGTAGAAAGGGACGGAAGAAAGTAGGTATCCCTAAGACCTGGTCATCCTCACTTCAGCTGCAGAAGAATCATGTTTTCATTGGAATCACTACAGGTTTACACTCATTCATACATACTGTTTCACCACTGTGGTAACTTTTAGGTGACTTGAGTGAAGAGGAAATAATATCAAGAACTCTGGAAAAACTTCCTGTATGACTGGCATCACTCATGGGAAAAACACTGCTTAAGTTATGTAATTTGTCTCTCTCACCACACCTTTCAAATGAGAAGGACAATGACTTGATTTGTAGAGAGCACACACTTCACAGCAACTTAGAACTACAATTTAATTACCGTTGAAGGACCCAAACATGCTTAACTTTTAAAATATACAGAAATACTTCATGCATACAAATAACACATAGGAAAGTGCTTCCCTAAATACTTCTGTTTTGTTCTCTCAACTTTATCATCAGGTAAGACTTCGTTTTACTAAAGTTAACTATTTAACAGGCTAACAGTTAAAGTTTCTTATATTGCTCTTTTATTCTCACTTTACAAAATCATGCAAGGTATTTGCTCCTAATTTACACCTGTGGAAGTAAAAGTTTTCCATGTGTTTACAAAAACAACTTTAATACTAGTTTCATTTGTGCTATCTACTAGGAGAAATTTATATAATACAAATTGTTAACAAATGGATTCTTCAATACAAATAGTGGGTTTTCAAGAAGTTACTGCAGTTCATCTTTTTTCCTATTGGAAATAAGCACTAAATTGTACAAGCCTCACAGGGATGTCTTTGAGGACTTTTTGGTTTGCAGCCTGTACATTTTGGTTTGGGGGGAGGTGGATGTTTTCTTTTTAAAGTTAACATAAGGAAGATTTGTTTAGCTGGGTTTATTTCTTTTGCATGATGAATGACAAACTTGGTCAGAGGAATAGAACCTGAACATCAGGAACTCAACACAGAATTCCCACCTGCTTCAGAACTCTTACCTCTATCTGTTATTACCTGAAAATGAGAGTGGCTCAAGGCCTCTTAGATGTGCAGGTGTAGAAGTTCACTGACCCATAAACATTCACAGTAAAATAAATATTGTGGGGCAGAAAAAAACATTGTGATTGTAGAAGGAAAGGAGGTAGTATTCCGAGATGGGTGTTTTATCACCCAGCATTTGATCTTTTGTATCACCTTTCTCCTTCTCTGGAGCATTGGACCTCCTGCAACCTCCGCATACTACCATATGCAATTCGGCTCTTTCATTCTTCAGTTTTCTCATAACTTTTTGAGTGAATACCATTTCTACTCACAGCAATTTCTTGGTGTGCATTCAATGTAACTTATTCCACAGTTACTTCAGCTTCAGAGAGATCCTCAGCTGTGTCTCCCATCTGCCTTCCCTTCCACTCCCTAAGAAGTCTCTCCAGGTTCTTCCATTACAAACATCAAAGGATATAATTAATTTTGCTCCTCTCCCATGTGCTTGTCCTCTTTGCATCTGTTTGACCTCAAATTCTCTATTCTGACACATCACTGAATCATGGAATGTTTGGTACTGGATGGTCTCTAGTCCAACACTCTTCTCAAAGCAGGACCAACTTGAACAGGTTGCTCATGGCCATGTCACAAAGTAACATGCGCCAGGGCTTTATACATGAAGTAGCAACTTTGAGTTGCTTCTTAAGAAATAATTAAAGCTACTTTGGGGGCTAAATTCTGCTTTCATTAAAGCTAGCCGTAGTCTTGGTATTCATTTCACTGAGAGCACTATTTCCTCAGAACTGGGACACTAGGCGGAATTGAATATAACTTAATTTTATGTTTATTCATTTATTAAAAGTTCTAGCTGTTTGTGTCTCAATCCCAAAGTCACTCCTCAAGGTTCTGTAAATGAAATACCTGTTTATATACACGGGGGCATTTTTAACACCCCATTGATAGACACCTCAGTTGCCTGCATAATAATGATAAACAAAAGAGTCTGTTTTCTAATCAGTCTTCATGAATTAGCATTGTCGTACCAGAAATGGTGGAAAAATAACAAGATTAGTTAAAGTTTAATGTTTCCCTCACACTGATTTTTTTTTTATTGCTTCATTTAAACAGCATTAAACCATACTGGTATACAATTAGTTCTGCCTCCAGTCTTTGGCAGTTTTTCCTGTTTACAATATAAGCTCTACAGAACAATGTACAAGCATTTGTTTGTGTTATGTCCTTACATGAAGCACTATTACAAGGGGATCACAAATTCTCTGGGTCTTCTATAAATGATGAAGGGGTAGATGAGAAAGGATAGAGCCCTACTCCATCTTTGCCTCATGCAGCAAAAAATTTTTTCAGTTTGCAAACATAACAGCGTATAACTTACAGATTCAGCATTTTGCTCATAAGCTATTATGCTAAATTTAATAAAGTAACCCATTCATTGTTAAAGTTATGCCTTGGACAAGAATGGAAAAGTCTTCAGATAGAAATGTTAACCTTACAGAAAGCCATTTATGTATATTCCCTGGATGTTTTTTCCAGTTGCTATGGTCAGTTGTTTGGCTAGGGAAAGACAGTCATTTGACATGTAACAAAGCACAACCCTTAATTTCAGTTGCGTGGGGTGGGACCACACAACAGATACACACACAGTCAGTTCCCTTCTGGGGGGAACAGTTGGGACTCCTTGCTGTTAATGACAGGTGTGATCAGCCGTCCAGACTAAACCCCGTTACAACCATAGATCTGTATCTCAAAACCAACTTGGCTAGGGAGCTCCAGCTGTCTGCCAGCCACTTCAGGTCTGTACAATCATCTGCTTTCACGTGTCTTGTGACATTATTATTGTATATATGTAAACCATTAGTATTTCCTCAGTATCTTAGAAAACTGACTGATGCATTTAAGCAGTCATTACCCAAGAGTTTTTGCTGCAGTGTTTCACTGATGTTTACAGTACAGGTGGTCTTTGGACTTTGAAACAAATATTGACTCTAGTACATGAAGTCAGGTTTCAGGAACCCATCTGCAAGAACAGTTGTGGAATTTGTAAGTTCTGGCTTCCTGACAGAGAACATTAGGTTAAATTCAGACACTTTTGACTTTTTCTAGATATATAAAGCCAGAAGAGACTTTTTTTTCTATGTAGTATATGACTGTAATTACTTTTCTGAAACATTTAGTAATCAACCACCATCATAAGTCTACCCTATATGCATAGTGTATGTGCAACAATAATCAGTATCTGCAGGATGTACCTCTTTTATGGTCACAATGACAATATTTACATACTTGAACTGCTTGATACAGGGAAACATATCTACTTACACACTCAGTACTAATCTAGTAAATAATGCATAGCAGAATTTTACATTCATTTTGCATGACTGAGAATGACTGAATGCTGTGAGCTCCAAATTTAGGCTTGTATGGCTATGTGGAGAAAAAGATACAACACACACCCAACAACTTCTTTAGTCATAATTCCTATCCATGGATTATTCACTACCTTTTCAGAAATGCTCCCACTGTCATTGCTACTGAGCTCAAATACACTACTGGTGCTCTGAGGGCTACAGGAAACTGCTAGCTAAATAATCTGATTGGTCACATCTTTCAGAAATCCCCCAACCTGACCTTGTTACCACAGCCAGGGAAGGTTGCCATTCAGGTAGCAATTTCACATACTTCACCTGGGCAAACATATTAGCAAACAGCAAACATCATTATCTTTCATCTATGTCTGAAAGATTTCACTGCAACTAGTCATTCAGCAATTTCAGATAAACAAGTCTGAAATAAAACACAGCCAAAAATATTCTTAGGTATCTGTCTAAACAGGGGACATTAGATAATGAATGAAAAGTATGTAGCATCAACCAGCACAATTATGTAAATGGTACTAGACAAAAATGCATACAGTAACCAAAACATTTCTGCAGATTCCCATTCATACATTGAATATGGAATAGAAAATGTCAATCTCACCAAAAGATCATCAGGCTTATAGGTAGAGTAGCAGTCTCACAGTTTCATTATGGTA